AAACGTTTTTGAATGAAATATTAAGCGAAGTAATATTCATTTTTTTCTATTTAATTTCAGATGATAAAAGATATGAAGAAGCAATTTTCTGGATTACTTCATGAGATTGGATTTCTCGATTCAGCTGATCCTAAGGCGCCTGCCGCCAATCTCAATTCAGGTACTTTAGTTTTTCCTTTTCTTTAAATTTCTCTTCCTCTTCCTTATTTGTTCTTTGTTTGACATTTTGCAGAAAATTTAAAGCTTGTAAAAGCCGTTTTATGCGCGGGTTTGTATCCAAATGTTGCCAGTATACAGCATCATCCATCATTTAAGAGGTAGGCAATAAAATTCATGTTGTTCGCAGCCTCTTAAGGGGGCAGTTTGGAGAGAACGGAAGTGTTCACCTAATAACAACAAAGATCCACTTTAAATATGCACACTTTTATTTGTCAAATTTGTTACATAAAATCAGTTACAGACTGGTTTTTGGAAGGATTTAGACTGAGACTGTAAAAGAGCCTGGGCGGGTCAAGGTTTTATTACTTTGCCTGTGGGTTTTTGGGAAGAATCAGTGGAACATTGATGTCCCTTCATTGACCAGTTACGGTATCGGCGAGTATACTTTGATGATGTGAGCGTAGTTTCCATAAAAACGTCCAAGAATTTTCAAGATTCCACTCTTAAATTTCGCAACCGTGATTTTTGTTTAGCGGGAGGGGAGGGCAGTATCAGAGACTATGGGGACGTCATATTCAAACGCCGGTTTTCATGGCACAGCTTTGTCGAATGCAACGTTCTTATGATAAGCCGACGACACAAATCTTAATCCGGTAAAACCTATAACCCTTTTCAATGTACACAAAAATTACAAATAAAAATACGTTTATCTTTGCCATCGTCGCAAAATGGAAGTCAAAAAAGTTGTTTGTTTGTTTTCCACCTGCAGGCCTCCTAAACTTCGAACACAGGAAGATGGCTTGGTGTATCTTCACCCCAAGTCAGTGAATGTTGACGTTAAAGTGTTTGAGGACAACTGGTTAATTTATCACGAAAAAATGAAGTCATCCTCGGTAATAAAACAAACCTAATTGCATTTTTAAAACTAAGAAAACAGCTATTCCGCTGCTTGTTTTGTTTTAAATCTAACACAATGGAATAGACCTTTTCCGAGTTCCCGCGGGCCTCTGTATCAAAACGAGGTTAAGTGCTCAGCCTTTGACATGGAAAATAATGCATGGTTTTTCATTCTCATGTAAATAAAACTCATTTTCACAAGAAAGGTTGTGCACTTGGCCTCATTTTCAAAGTGATTGTCTTTGGTACTCGGAAGTGACCTATTGGAGTTTGGTGCGCCTGTCACGTGTCAGCTTGAAGAGCTTTCCGAGTTCTAATTGGTCCAGACGATTTCACTCGCTTGGTCCAGACTACATGTATTTATTCTGTGTCTTAACACCCGTTTTCTTGTACCCTGCGAGCAGCGGTCTCTTCAGGCCGGAGAAACCACTGCTCGTAAGGTAATTTTCTTGTGACTTAAATCTTAAAACTTGTTTGTATCATAAAAGGTGGCTTTGTGCTCGTTTAATCTAATCTAAGGGAGTACACAGTATTTTGGAAGATTCTGTTGGGCTTTGTATATTTTACATCACACTTTCGAGAAACAGCTGACCGATATTCTGAAAAGTTTACTAATATACAATCCGTTGTAATCTTATCTTCTCCCACTCAAATGGCTTGAGTAAATGATATATTTTTACCCTCGTTAAAAAAAACGGTCTGTTTATTTGTTGCAGTTATTCCTGTACGACAGCACCATGATCGCTCCCTTTCCTTTGTTATTCTTTGGTGGTGATATTTCTGTGTTTATGGAAGAAGGCTATGAAACTGTGGCCGTAGACGACTTCATTAAGTTCAAATCTCCCACAAGAATCGCTAATTTGGTTAAGGTTTGTGTTGTTTTTAGGATATCGCCAAACAAAGTTAACTATTGAACGATGACTTACGGACTATTTCATACATGCCATAAAGAACGTATTACTGAATTATCGGCATTATTGTGAGTAAAAGGTGGTAGACTCAGGGGGTTATGTCGCAGGGAAACTCTCTGTGTACGCTTGTATCTTTTAATTCGTGCGGCACAAAATTTGACGCGACATTGTCACCACGATAAGTCGCGCGAAATTTCATGACGAAATTTCATGAGTCAGTGACTCAGGCGGCGTGGAAGAAAAAAATCCCAGGAATATTGCAGGTGAAGATCATTAAAAGTGCGCCATGAACCTTCGCGTGCACGTTGTGCAACATGTACCATAACCAAAATCAAAACTGAGTTAGCCAGGCGGGTCTCTTGTTCGTACATTGAGGAAAGCCTCCGCTACACTTTCTTGTTACACGTCCCTGAGCGAGTACTGCTTGTGATTTTGCTCCCGCTACACCTCACTGTATGATGTCCCTTTTTATGTCCGGGCTCTTGTATCCCGTATTTCCCGTTGGAACTAACGGCCATCAAGAGAAATTTTTCTCCTCTAACCAACTTGCTACTTCCGAATTTCCGACTTCTGGTCTTATATTTCACAATTGTGATTAGCCGTGTACAAAAAAAATGCATTTCCCCTGCGTAAGACGCGAATGAGAAATGCGAGGCACAAATTCATGTACTGAACCGGGTACCAGCGAGGGGTAAGACGAGCGTGAGTGGCCGAACTACCTCTCTCCTCGCGCGTTTCCTCCTTCCTCTCGTGCATCGCTTATCTCACACCCCGTGTCTTTTAGTGACTACTACGCAGGTTACCATACATAATGCACAAATGGATGGCTAACAAACCGAGCCTGAATAGTCTAGCGGCCGAAAGGACGTGTATAAACAGTATGGAATGAACTTTCTTTATAGGAGCTGAGAGTTGAACTTGACAAACTGCTGAGACAAAAGATAGCCCAACCCAAAATGAAGCTGAGCGCGGGGCCTGGGACTGGTGACAAGGAAAGTGCTCTTCTGCGTGCCATCATCGATCTGATTACTAGCGAGGAGAATACAAACTGGGTGAGCTTCTTTAGGGCTATTCTTACTTTGCTTATAAGAGGCTCTTAACTTGTTTAATTTTGTTCGTGATCATTTCTTTCTTTCCACAGAAAAAACAAAAGCACCTTGCCAGTGACACACGGTTAAGACATTATTAAGAGCTACAGCTGTCTTGGAAGGCTAGCGGTCACCATGGAAGATTCGGAGAGAGTCCTGTTGGCTATTAGGATCAAATAATCGCGGATTACACTCGTTGCTTCAGCAGATGTGATAAGCGATCCGGGGGGGTACTCCCATACATTACCTATACGGGTATGTGCCGCCCAACGGGGTCGTGATTTTGAAGCTCCTGATTTAGAACGGGGTATCCATTTCAGAGGCGTTTTCTAGAGCTGGGTATAATATTGCGAACGTACGAAAGCTCCAGTTTTGCAAGCAGCCATTTGACTTTTTTTATTCAAGGACAGATTGCTTTTAAAAGTACGGTTCAATGAGTTAACAAGCAAACTGTTGTATTCTTGTTGCACCCTAGAACTGAGTATAAAAGATTGGCCCATTTCTAGAACGGGGTATCAGTTTTAGGGCGAATTCTAGAACAGGGTATAAAAAATTGGCCCATTTCTAGAACGGGGTATCAATTTTAGGGGAATTTTTTTCAGAACGGGGTGCCAATTTGGAGTCCCAGGTGGCACATACCCACCCAAAAAATACCCAAGTGCCCCCCCTCCCCCGGGGAAGCGATCACAATCACGTTATTTGACGGGTCTTTTGCATCCCCCATCCTCGTTACCGGCGTCAACCAACGGACTTTCATTTTTGTGGTCAGTCATCGTTATACGCTAGCACCTTGTTTACATACCGGCTCCATTCGTCGTCAATGACCTCGCCTCGAGTTCGAATGATTTTCAGTTATTTCAAGCGGAATAAAGGAGGAAGATTGCTTGGATGCCTCCAAGAAGTCACAAAACTTGAAGCTCGTTTGAAATTCTTTATCCAGCTGGTAATGGCATGTCATTACGGATTCTCTGTGTCTTATTTGTTTCCTTGTTCCCTGCTAGCACAGGTCTCTCTTGTGAGAGACCTCTGCTAGCAGGGAAGTTTCCTTGCTGTTGTTACTACGGACGAATGCTAAATCGATGTAACTAAACGACTGGAACGAAAACGGGGGACGGGCAAATAAAAAATAGGAACAAAACCCAACTTGAACCTATCAGTAAAGTCATTGCCAATTTTCTGTTTTGTTCCAATTTTTCATTTTTATATTTCCCCTTTTCCGTTCCCCGTCCGTTTGTAAAATCCTCATTAATCTTTATCTTTGAAACTTTGCAGTCGAGCCCTCAAGTGATGAAAGCCATGAATTCGGACAATCACTTCTTTAATACATTTGCGTCATTAGCATTAGGACGTCCATCAGACCAAAAAAATTTCTTTGAATTTAGTATCATAGGAGAACTACCTTTCTCTAGAATAAAAACTTATTTATTTGCAAAGTCCCTTGGTCTTGTAGGAGTAAATAGTTGTTACTTTTTCCTAGGAATAAAAACATTCTCTTATAAATCAGAGCTTTCCTCGAGTTTTATTTCACCGCCATTAGAGCTTTTAAGATCGTAACATTAGATAGGTCATTCATGAGTTAAAACCCAAATCTCTTCTTATTACCTAATGGGGAAGAATTTCTTCAAAACCAGCTTCTCTTTCCCAAAACCACGGCATCCTTAAGTACAAAGGTACTCAAATGTACTGAAACTAGAAGTTCATCGGCCAGAAATTAAAGACCACCTTGGCCGAGTTTTCATGGTGCTGGGCTTGCCTTGTAATCTGGGCGTCTATCACTCTTCATTCCCATCGCGTAACCGGTCCCACGCGCGGAAAGCGATAGGAGTGGGGTTGTATTTGCAGGCTACCCATTAAGCGAACCATTATTTTAAGGACCACTTGGACAAACAGCAACTAGGGAAAGCAGGATCTTGTTGTAGATCAGGATCAGCAATATAAAATAACA